CAGTATCCAGGACATGACACAGGGAAGGGGTAGTTTAAAATACAAAATTTTAACTTGCATTCATTTAAGCAGCAAAGGAGGCAAAAAAAAAAAAAATCAGGTAGGGCCTGTAGCAATAGCACAAGATGTAATGGTTTTAAAGTAAAGAAGAGTAGATTCAGACTAGATCTAGGGAAGAAATTTTGGACAATGAGAGTGGTGAAACACTGGAAGAGGTTGCCCAGGTGGTACATACCCCATCCCTGAAAACATTCAAGGTCAGGTTGGACAGGGCTCTGAGCAAACTGATCTAGTTGAAGATGTCCCTGCTCATTGCAGGGGGGTTGGACCAGATGGCTTTTAAAGGTTTCTTCTAACTCAAACTATTCTATGATTCTTTAGTAACAGAACAAACTACAGAGCTTGTCTAGAGAGGTCATAGTCTCCCGAGTTTCTCAACTGACACTTCGTGTGCATTTTCTTACTTCAAATTAAGAAAGGGTTCCCCATGGCTGCTGCATTCACCTGCTGTAAGGAAAGGGAAAGCCCAACAACACTGCTTAAGAACAAAAGCATCTGCATGAATAATTAATCCTTAGTAGCAATTCTGGGAAGCATACCCATATTGGCGAGCTCCCAAAACACAGCTATATTCTACAGAAATTAAAAAAAAATAAAATCTAATGCTAGCCAGGTTTGGAGACTTTAAGATATTAATTGTAATGTTTGCATCATGCTTTATATCTTTCAATCATTGTAAAAGAGGTGACTGATACAGCAGTGTTTAAAGTTTTAATTGACATGTTTCAGGAAGAGCCAAACTGTACTGGAACAGCAATTAAATCAGTGTTTTCTGTACTGCAATAACTCAGATTTAATCCTAGCATGCTGTCAGGGAACTTGCATAAGTAGATCAGGCTGTTTTCAGTACAATACGCCAGGTATGAGAGCTTCGATTTGCAATGCTTGCTGCCAGGTTAGTGCAGAACCTCCAAGGATTTAAACATAAATTTGTTCTTCCCCCTCTCTGTCGAAGGGGACGTGATCCTCCTCTGCACTGAGTTTATTCATAAACCTGTATGTGGTACTGAACGTTTTCTCCCTTTTATAAAAATGGGACATTTGTCACATTAAGAGTACATAAATTCATCTATAGCACAAAGTGACAAGGCACAAGTTAAAATGAGGCAAGAACTGGCAAATACGAGGGCAATCTATGATTTTAGGGCACAATCCCCATCCCTGAACGTTTGCATCTTAGCAAATCAAGTTGCTTGAGCAATATTTTAAAGCTTTTTAAGTGCAGAATTGTGATCAATCAGGAAGGAAACCATGTTGCAACTACAGAACAGGAAACCATGATGGCACTGAATAAAGGTCACTTCAATTACCAAGCAAGCAACATTACCTGAATTTCCAAAGTCACAAGACGACAAATACTAATATGTTCATTATTAGGAAATAGGAATAGACCAGGTTACCCCCTCTGCCAATTTCGTGATTGTGGTGTTTTTACCAAAAAATGCAGAAATAACAGTGCTGCATACAGTGCTGAATGTTCCTGCTTTAAAAAAAAAAAAAAAAAAACAAAAAAAAACAGCAAACCATCTACAGTAAAGGGAGGAAGAAATCTGGGAAGCCACTCAGAAATCAAAAGAGCTGCTTAGCAAAGAGTTAGTTCGTCAACCAACATGCTGTCTTGGCAATGAACTGACAGTGTCCAAGTACCCACAGAGACCTAAGAAAGTACCTGCTATCCAAGACATACCTGGTAGTCGGAGCATTTAAATTAGAGGGGAAAAAACATTCTCAAAGCAAAGAGACCAAACTAGCTCAAATTAAGACACCTTTTGAACAAAAAGTCTCAGAAACCACTGAATTCTTCTCCATTGAGGAGAATTCAGAGGAAAATAACAAATCCTTCCAACCTCAGGGCTCTCCTACCAGGAGCTGGCTGTGTGCTTTACCCAAACACAAGTTAGGATGTTTATTAGTGAACTAAATAGGTAAAGCTCACGGTTCAAAAAGAAAATAAGATGACATCACCTGGCCATCCTTTCTGTCCTTCCACGAGGTGTAAATTATGCATGTGCTACTTGCACATGCACTTGTGAGACAGGTGAAGTGTTGGGACTAAGTCCCACTGCTGCATCTGTGACCTGGGACAGAACATTCACTTCACTTGTTAGAGGTGTGCAACAGAGGATGTTCTGCTTTGCAGATGGTCAGGGCTCTGCAATCACAAGCTTTTATGACAAGTTTTTTTATTCTAAAACCTCTGGTTTTGGCAGATTTTTGCATATGCTTGTCAAGTTCAGACCACATACATAAAGAAGAGGCACCTAATGTGCACATTTTTAAGTGCACTGCGTACCCTTGAGGCACAGCACAGAAGGGCCTTTCATTCATATGACTGTGCTGTACTGTTCCAACAGACAGAGATCTTTCTTTAAAGGTGCCATAATGATTAATACACCGGGGGGGGGGGGGGGGGGGGGGGGAAGTCGTAGAGAGGGGCAGATATGAAGCCTTTGTCAAGAGAAGGGCTGACAGTGGAGTTACAGACATCTCTGTATTGAAAATGCAGATAAGGGGACAAGCCCATGCTCAGTTCTCAGCCACCAATCTTGCTCTTTCAAGCCCATCAGTTCTGTACTCAGATTTTAATAGAAACAGTGAAGCAACAGAGGTGGAAGCACAGTACAGCTCACATCTACCTGAAAAGACACGCAGCCTAACTTCGATTTATGCACAAGACTTGCATTGACTTTTGTATGCTTTTAACAGATCCCCAAAAGTGTTGAACAGGAAGAAACTAACAGGACTCAGTCTTCTCATGATCAGTGTAATGAAAGAATAATACTAAGTTGCTTACAGAGACTATAAAAGAAAGCCATTTTGTATAAGCAATTTAAGATTTGGGTTTTAGTCATTGAATTAAAAACAATTCAGGCACAATTCAACCATATGATCTCAAGAAGAAAGAGAGGCATAATTCAGAATCGCCCTGTGCACACAATCTCAATCACTATTTTAACATCGACTTAAACAGACAAGTATTACTTTCTCTACTCCTGGCACCTTTGCAGCACAGGGGATTATTTCTTCCCCTTCATTTCATGGATGGGCAGCAGTGCTTAGTGGGCAGATATCTGTGAGGGCCAAGTGCTAATCCCCCAAACTTCCCATCAGAAATTTATCCCTTATACGTCAGACCTCCTTCCTCATATGAGTTTGCTTATTTTGCTCATATTTGTAACACGGCTGCTGCTCTTAGGCTGTTCCAGCATCACACTGGGTTTGGAGTTCCCAAACACCAGCAGCAGGGCAAAACAACAAGTCTGGTGCTGTTGCTGCTTTCCTCTCTCCCTTTCTCCCTGTTTTTGAAGAACTATACTCAACTGTATCCCAAGGACTTAGATCACAGCGGCCTACTTAACAGTACGTAATCAGCCAGAAAGCCAAGTGTTTCTCGTCAAATTACCTTCTCAGCACACAATGCTCAACAATTTCAGAAAATAGAGACCATTACGACAGATGTGTAGCCGTAAGGCTTTATAACTAGTCAAAACTGTAGGTATACCTCACTATTCCCTCAGCCATACCATCCTGGAGCTAACCTCCTGAAGAAATGCAGAAAAAAAAAAAAGTATCTAGGGTTTAAGATAGATCTTTCTGCAGCCTCTAGCTCTGCCATCCAGATCCTTCTGATTAGATACAGAGGGTATTCCCTGCTCTCCACACATAAATGTAATGCCTTAAGTTTAATAAAAATAAGCCCAGTATTTACCTACAAAAAACTCAGAAAACACCATGTTGGAAGGGCAGAAGCACAGATTAGTCCCAGTATACATGATACATACATCTTAACAAACGATAGATGTCTTCAGTAGAACAAGAGCAAAGGAAAGGCATTCAGCAGACTTCCTTGTCTGAGGAGCTTGAGGATTTGCCTATGACAGACTTTTTGCGACCGAAAAACGCTCTGTCATTACCACTTGTTTGTTCCATGATCATAGGAAAAAAAATCTGGCAAAAGAGCTCCATATAAGCAGGACTGTATGTGATAGCATGCAAGCCCACTTCAATTTAAAAAACCTAATAGCTACAGAATGGGGTACAAGCTGCCATCCCCAGAGGAGATGCTTAGGCATAGACAGTTTGAAGCCTTTTAGTCAAACACTTGCAGTAAGCAAGCTCTGTGCTTCTAGAAATGAGCTCTCGGGCAACAGCCTGACCACAGTTTGGGGATAAAAACCACACAGTGAGCTCCCACATAGGGTGGTACAAATTCTGACTTACAAGTCACATTCTAGAATACAGTTAAATGGACAAATCTTAATTTAGATTGTAGCACTCTAAGCTCAAGGATCCACAGTCATATTTTAACAGTTAAAGTAGGATGATTATTTTTTTTTTAACCAATATTCAACTTTTCCTGAAACAGTGTATTTGAAAAAGGTAGTTCTGTTTGGGTGTTTCTGCTTACAAGCATCAAAAAGTTTTAGCACCTGAAGCGTCTTGGTCACCTCCTGCACAGGTTTAAACCAGCTTTATAGCACAGAAGCATTACTAGATATAACACTGCAGTGAAGAACAAAGTGGTGTGACCCTCTGACGCTAATGAAGCCACCAGAAGTCTTATCCCTACAGTCCTGGCCAGTGCCGTTTGAGCAGATCTGAGCTTCTCAGACTGAAAAGAAGTCCTTCCTTCAGATCTCTTCATTAGTAATTCAACAAAACAAATTAAAACCAGACTGCACTCAGAAGTACATCCGAAATGAACAAACCTGTCAGCCCACATAATCTAAAATCAATAATAGGGACCGGGAACCATAATAGTAAGAAATTCATTTGATCTTTCCACAAAATGGAAGCCTGTTACTGGAAGCTTACTTACTATTCCACAAATCTTCAAGTGTTAAATCCAAAATATAGGTACAAAGAACTAGTAATTTATGTTATTTTTCTGCCTGACAACTATGTAACATAATATAACGATACTTAAATCAGGTACTTACAGGGTCTCTCAGCTCTTCATTGTCTCGAGTTGATGTTCGAGGTATTTTCACGGGGATTTCATCTCCACATTCAGTGTCTGAAGCATTTGGAGACTCTGCTAAATCAAGGAACTCATCTCTCTTGTGACCTCTGAACCTTATTTTGTCCAACTTCTTTAGCATGTTCAGCACTGCACTTTTCTGCTTTACCTTAACATGACGGTTGGAGTCTCTGCAAGAAACAAGACATCAAGAGTACTTTAGAAAGCTTCCAATAAACCCAAATAGAATCATAGAATGGCTGGGTTGTGTTGGAAGGGACCTTAAAGATTTAGCTTCAACTCCCCTGCCATGGGCAGGGATATCTTCCACTCAGGTCGCTCAAAGCCTCATCCAAAAAACACATTCTAATCACTAACTACTTCTAACCATCTTTCAAGAGTCTTCCTGCCACTGGAGGAAAAACATGCTGCAACTTAGCTTTTTAAGAGGCATTTTTTTCCACAGTGTAACAGATGCAGTTTGTTTTTCAGTAGTTGATGATTTACCATCTTCCCACACTATTATGGCCTCTTTCTCATGGCTATTTTCAAAACAAGTCAGAATGGGCACAAGTTAACAACCTGCACTCCAAAGAAAGATAAGGAAGACAGTCCTTAACAGGTTACTCGAAAAAAAAAAATTAGCTGGTAAGTCCAGAGTCTTCAACTTGCTGACAAGTTCCAATCAAAGACATGAAAATCCACTAAGTTTCACAACCAATCTTTAAATTCTCAGAAAAACTAGAGCAAAAGGCTAGGGAGGCTATCATATCTCCCTGCTGATTCAGGCTAAGAAAACAGAAAGTACCAAGGGTTTATTGAAGAAAGCCACCAGACAGATCCATGCAGGAGATCCTACCAAAAACTAGAGATTGTTGAAATTGACCATAAAACATACTCAAATGCATTGCTGAGATCCTTAAAATTACGACTACTGACAATCTGGCATACCCTTTGCTACATTTCTGTTACTCCCTTTGAGACACAAAGAAGAATCACTTTTTTAATGATGCTTTCACATTTTTTAAAAACTAGCATGACCAAAACTTTACTGTAAGAGAAACAGCGCAGCTGCATTTTTGCAGAACATGCAGGTGCCACAGCATTCAGAGGAACAAGAAGTGCCCAGGATGTTTCACTGCCAGAGACAGTATTTGACACAAGCAATACTTAAATTATAAACTATAAATCATACTGGGAGAAGCATTTTGCTTTTTAGAAGACAATAGAAGAAAGCTTAATTAATGTAAGTAAACTCATTAGAATGGTAGCTTTCCAAGACACTGCACTATATCATTTCTGATTTAAACAAGACCTGCTGAATTGCTTCGATTCAATGCTCTACACATATCATGCTCTGTACCAAAAGGTCTCAAGCTCCATCTTTTTTTTTTTTTTTTCAATTAAAGAAAAAGTTAGTTCCTTGATCCTGCCACTCCAGCAAGCTACCACTCTGGCAGTTTATAACAAACTAGACACAATTTTCTCTCCTACAAACTGTTTTCAGCTCAGAGCATTCCATTTGGAGGGTGCTGCAATTCTCTCCCAAATGGACTTTCGCAGCAGTAAAGATTTATTTTGAGGCACTTGTTCCTGTTACCATCCTTCTTTTCCCTATGGTCAACATCACCCTCCTCTTCATTAAAAAACACGCTTAGCTTCATGGCATATCAATTCCAGGCACTAGTGTCAGATAAAAAAGCAAAAGGCAGATCTAGACGTGTGTCACTTCAGGCATATAAAGAGCAAGAAAGAAGAGCCTTTTGCTACTGCCTCCCACAGCCTTCACACTCGAGGTGATTCTCACCTCCTGACACAAACCTCGTTCCAACAGAGCTCTTTGTCTTTCCCTGTGGATTCTCCGCTTACCCTATCGCTTTGGCACTGACTATTCACACCAAGTTCAAACCAGATCGTTCTCTTCAAAATCTGCCTTAGTTTGCACCTCTGCCAAGGTTTATGAGCACCCTTCACTTAAACACAGAAGTTTGAAACCTATACAAGTTCCCTATAGCGCAGATGGCAAAAAAAAAAACAACCACAAAACTCTCCCTTTATCAGAGATGCTTAAAGTTGCAGCCCTGCATTTAATATTTCACTTAAAGATAATCACTTGCGGTAACTCACACCAAGGTTATTTTCTACGAACAGCTTTTCTTTGCAGTTCTATTACTTGTCAAAGCTAAGTTTAAAATAGAAACACTTCTTGCTCATTCATAGACTATTCGATGAAGAAACTTGTCAGCTATCACATCCAGAAATATCTCTAGGCCCTACTATTAATAGCAAGTAGAGAACAAATGCTATCGGGGAAGTTTAAACCTCTGATAAGCACTGGCACCATTGTATCACACTCCCTCCCATCTCAAAGATCTCCATCTACATTCAACCAGTTTTACATTCCCTGTTGTCATTGTTTAGCCCGGCCGGCACCTAAACTCCACACAGCCTCTCGTTCACCCACCACCACTCCCCGGGGATGGGGAAGAGAATTAAAGGGGGATACCCGTGGGTTGAGATAAGAACAATTTAATACTACTGCTACTAATACACGAAAAAAAACCATATATATATGTACAATGATAAATATATGCAACACGTGATGCACAGTGTAATTGCTCACTGCCCCTTGGCCAAGGCCCGTCCTGTCTGGGACTAACGATCCTGAAACAGGTAAGTCCCGACACCACAATCCCAGACGAGCGAGAGGCCTGAAAAGAGAGCGAGAGAGAAAGAGCACTCCAAGAGTCCGAAAGTGAGAGTCCCAGAAGAGCAAAGGTCCTTCTTTCCAGTTGACCCTCATTTTTACACTGGGCATGACGCTGCATGATATGGAATACTTCATGGATCATTGGCCCTCAATCCTAAGTACAAATCACAAGGACAGTCGTGGACCCCCCGTCTCGGCTATGCTCCCCCCTATCCTGTTGTGCTCCTGCACACTGGCAAGAACACGGCAGCTGAAAAGTCCTTGAGACCTCATTGCCAACTATAAACATCAGTGCGCTGTCAGCGTTCTTCTCAGAGCGAGCCTCAGACTAAAACCAAAACACAGAGCTCTTCTAGCTGCTAAAAAGAAGAACTAACTCTGTCCCAGCTGAAACCAGGACACCTGCAAGTCAGACCTACAGCCAAGCAATTGTAAACCAAACCCTATTTGTTCACCATCCATGCTGTCACTGCTAATGATACAGCTATATGAAGAAATAACAAGGATGGTAGAGTTCTAACCCTTTTCTGGTCAGCAGTCATCAGCCCACACCACTGGAGGACAACCATGCATCCCAAGCCTTCTCCATTCCTCCTACAGATGGAGCAGTTATCTCAAGGCTGCAGATGAGCATTGCTGTTCTGGGTGCAATCAGAAGCCTTCAGTATTCTCCCGTTAATGTTTACCCATTGGTCTCGAAAGAACAGGGTTGGATCTGGACTTTTTTTATAGCCTGGCATATACAGCACTTCAGTGGACTTTTCAAGATCTGAATTCAGTTTTTCCCTTAGAGTGGATTCACATTCACTCATCACACAAAAGAAGTGAAAGGCAACAAAACCATCTTGAGACAAAGCAATCTCCAACCCTTCTCTTCAAGCTCTGCCTTCAGGCAATGAAGAATGAAAGACTCATGAGACCAGTGAAAGTGTCCAGTAGCATAACTGCCTGGGTTGGACATCATCTGTGAAGTCCTGAACTCCAGCCTCCTCCTAGGATGGTACCCATGAACACATGGTATTTTTTGCTAGTAAAACCAATGTACCATGTTACCACCTGGTCTTTTAAAACACAAACCCTACTTTAAAACACTAACAAATTGCTGCACTGAACACAGTCATCTTAAATTCTGTAGCACAGAGGACAGCAAAAAGAGATGTCATCAGTGTCAGTATTTTTAAAGTATTATTCAGTAGGTTGACCATTAAAAGAGGAAATCATAAAGAATCATGTTCCTTGGTGGTTTTAAGTGCTTTAAGTACAAGAAGCTGTTATTTAAAAATATCTGTTCAGTTATAATTTAAAAATAAGATGATCATTTTGTCTAAAAGTTGTTTTGAGTATACGAGGCTCCCACATTACTTACAGTTACATTAGATTAACCTAAGCAAAAACCTAAGCTTGCCAACAAGCTCCTATAGAAACTCATTATCTGGCCTCCAGCCAAACACACGATCTAAGACAGGCTTTTTATGTCAGCAGCCTGTTCTTGCAACTAGCAAGTTTTTTTTTAGATAGAGATCAATAAATATGGCGACATTTCAGCAGTTTCAGGCTCACTAGAAAAAAATATCATAGAATCATAGAATGGTTAGGGCTGGAAGGGACCTTCAAAGGTCATCTAGTCCAACTGCCCTGCAACAAACAGGGATATCTCCAACTA